TATGCAGTGTTGGAGGTCTTACGTCAATGATGCCCCGTTAAAACTGTGAACAAGTCACATTCCGTTTCTCACCATGAATGCACAAAAACAGCTGCTTGATCTCAGATTACGAGTTTGTCTTTCTCTGAACAACATTCGTCGTACTCCTCCCCTCCACAAGGGGAAATTATGGGCAAGCAAGTCGGCCAAATCGCATATTCAGTGAACAGACTGACCAACTTGGTAAGAAAGCTGAACTATAAAAGCCATTAATAGACACAGCCTATCAAAATGCATATACAGAAGCCATCCACGACCAGCTCTGGTATTAGGGACCAATGACACAGCCCAATATAGGAAGGCTGCGGAAAGAAGCCTCATGAATGGTGGGGAAGACGATGCTCGTCTACTGTTGTATTCTACTCCAGCCCCCTATGACCTATGTAAACCAGTCCAAAGTGCTTATCTGTAGCCAAACTAATCACAACCGCGCCATATTTCAAGCGGTTAGTCGCTGGCTTCCCACCGCGCGGCCCGGGTTCGATCCCGGGTCTGGTCAAGTGGGATTTGTGGTGGACAAAGTGGCGTTGGGGCAGGTTTTCTCCGAGTACTTCGGTTTCCCCTGCCAATCTTCATTCCACCAACTGCTCCATAATCACCCTCACCTATCATCTGGGGCTGGTACAATAGGCCAGAAGTGGCCGCAGTACAAGGGACTAAGTCCCACCCCACCAGCAATAAAAAAATAATCTAATCACGTGGTTATCAATACCTGCATTCGTGTGAGCAGAATGGCTTGACAACTAGATGGGAATATGTGCATTGCGCCTGACGGGGAGGCGTTAACATTTCGAGAGGAATTTGGAGGTTGGCCTTCTTACCACAGCACCGGTACAGTACTTCACCTGAAAACAGCCCCCCTTCCGCCTCTACAATACACACACCAACCAAATTTCTTTCACTCCAAACAGCATCTGGAACATTAACTTTTTGGGGTAACTTATGACTTAAGATCTATGCGATTTCATGTCGCCTTCAATTCAAAGGTGAAAGGGCAGCACCGTGTTCAAACTTCTGCAACAACCTATGCGATGGCACTGCCACCACACACTTTGTAGTCGCAGGACCACTGGTATCATTTCGAAACATTCACACAACAGTTGTTCGTGGCTGACATTTCAACACGTCCAATAAAAGTCAGTTTGTATCATTACCAGGACAGAAAGAAAACAACGCTTTACAAAGCATAATGATTGCATTGCATTTACAGTAGTCAGGGTCGTCTCTTTTAGCTCGCTTTTGGTAATCTCTGCGGTTACGCAGTACGATATACTCTTTATTGAAATGTTTTACAAGAACCCAAAGAGGCATACTTTCATTTGTTTCAAATTATATAACTTCCCGAAATAGGTATGCATTTCAGCTGTGGTCACAGTTCCTGGCTACAGATCCAGAGATCCGGGTTCGATTCCCGGCGCTACCAGATTTTCTGAGAAGTAGTGGGTCTGGAACGAGGTCCACTCAGCCTAGTGAGAATAATTGTGGAGCAATTCAAGGAAATCGCGGCTCCGGTCTAGAAAACCGAAATTAACGGCCGTGGGTATTCGTTGCGCTGACCACGCGACACCCTCTATCCGCTAAAGTTGGCACTAACTTCGCCGACAAGCGGCGATCGCTCGGTCGGTATAGTTCGCTTGCGGACTAAAACCACGGAGTTTATTTTTGTCTCCTGTCTCAGATCGCGGGAGGACTGCAGGTCGGAACCTCCCTTGACCCGAAATGTATGAAATTATACACTACGATATTTTGACAAAATATAACCATAAAAGGAAACTTTGGTGACGAAACTACAACGGTCTGTGTCCATATTCTGTAATGGTAGTTTTTAGTCTCGAATCCCTTTATCTCCACATGAATCCTGGATGCAAGACAGTTCTGCATACGACACGCTACTCTACTGCATGTCCAAATCTGTTTATGTGAATAAGAGCAAAATTTTGCACAAACAAACCATACATAAATACGGAGCTGTGCTTCTGAGAACCGTATTCCCAATGCGGTGCACAAACAACAGGCAACACAAATGACAATGAATGGCTCCTTTTCTACCATAGTTTGTGGCGCGTTTTAGTATACCATTGATTTCATTGTAGCTGTTTCTGTACCACACAACCGATCAGTAGTTCACTAAGAAGTGCCATGAACGCTCGTGGAAAAGAAGCCTAACACAAAATGTCCATATCGGAACTGAAACGTACGAATGCATGTGCCATGTTTCCCACAGACAAAGGTGTCAAAGTTAAATCATACAAAACAATGTTCAATTTCGATGCTATGGTGCCATTCGCACTGACTACAATACTACACGGTACGGACCAACACTGTTGTTCAATCAGGGACTATTTTCCTCATCCCCCACCCCGTAATTATGACCCCATTGTAAGGAAGAGACAACAAGATCTGTAGGTGAAGTTATCCCTGTGTTTAATTAAGTATATAGTGAAGACGTATAGGAGGATTAGAGGCGTAACTCCAGGAACTGATAACCTCTGTATGAGGAGGAGGTGAATGATCTGCTTCACACCCCGGCCGATTTAGCCCAGGATATGGGTATGAGGTTGACCCCAGAGCCAGTCTGGAGGCATTGCATTCCCAGTCCGTACACTGAACTATACTGGCTGAGCTATCCCGGCTAATGGTCGCTCGAACTGTCAAAGAATTCATAATTTTCTTTTCTGGAACCTGAACGTTCATTACCATATTCACAAGAGCCCACCACTGTCCCTCTCCTGATGAATCCGGTCTACATAGTGTCACCCTACTTCTCCAAGATACATTTTAATATTATCCTCACCTCTAAGTCTAGGTCTCCATTTGGTCTCTATACAAGTTTTCCGACAGAAATGTTACGCTCATTTCTCACATGCATGCTACTTGTTCGATCTTTGTGTTTCATCGCCCTGGTAATATCTGTGGAAAATTATCCAAATATGTAAAATAAAATATCATACTCAAAGTCCATAATGACCTCCCGGTGTACATGATCAAACTTTCCAACTTGGTGTGCATCGCTAATTGGATTTATTGAACACTTGCAGATTGTAAATACAAGTAACCATAGAGCTGTCGCTAATTCACACACTCTACAATTCACTAAAGCACGCACTTTTTTTGTCTCATTGGGGTGAGACCGAGTCCACTTGGTACGTCGACCACTGATTGGCCTACTGTACCAGCCCCAGATGATAGATGATGATTATTATTTTGGTATAATCGATGGAATACGAATTGGCAGGGGAAACCGAAGTACTCGGAAAAAAATGTCACTTTGTCCACCACAAATTCCGCATAACTTGACCCAGGCTTGAACCCGGGCCGCCGCCGTGGGAAGCCGGCGACTAACTGCCTGAGCTATGGCACGGCCTGTTTTTTAAGGTAAAGCTATCCCTGTGACAGGCATTGGAGGTCCATAAGGTTGTGAGACATCGAGGATCCCACATTTCTCTAGACAACTGGCTCAAAGATGGCGGTGAAGTTGTCAGCCCTACGCGCTGGCCGCCCTTTACCCCCCCAGGAAGATTCCTGATACTCATTTCTGTTGGAGGCTGAGTCGAACCCAGGACCATAGTGCGACTGAAAAGATTAGGTCAATTGAAAAAAAAATCCAATGACCTCAACGGGAATCGAACCCGCGACCTTCCAGCTTGTAGCATAATGCATCAAGCAACTACGCTGCCGTATGCCCCACACAGTCTTTCCAGTCTGCTGTATCTTCACCGGTTGTCGCCTCGTAAAGGCTTTCAATGCCGTAGCTTCCTCAGTTTCCGTATTCACGTCATTACTGGTCGGTGACTGTCTCACAGCTAAATCATTGCCCCAACTGCCGACTCAAAGTCTAAGTCAAAGTTATGTTACGACCAACGGTCAATCGACTAGTTTGTCTCGGAATAAAGCACCCATCTGGGGCTTATGACCAGATTTTTATTCCTATGAGACAGTTGCGGGTTCACTGATGTGGGGTGCTCTCTCTGACGAGAGCTGTTGCTTACAATTGCTGCTAGCCCTCGCCAACGCAGTCATTTTCTGGTCCAAGTCCCGTGAGACTCGCGACCATATTCGTATTTTACTGTCTCAGGTTCGAGACTTCAATTTCTGTCGTCTCCTACGACTCGCAGGGCTATGGTGAAGGTATTGGACCCCGTTCATAACATCTCAACATAGAAAACATCGTTCCTCGTTGTTATAGTTCAACTGTTGCCGTGGGAACATGTTTGTTAGCGAAGCCGTTACTCAGTAACGGCTATCGTATATTTGCTTATCTCGCTGTCGTTACCTAGCAACGGGTCTACATGCCACAATATAAAGATCGTGGAACATAAGATTTTCGATTACTTGCCTTTAAAACAACATCCCCATTATTCCAACTTGGGTCCGGTCTGCACCACAGCACCAAATAATATTTTCGGCCACAACCCACTTCCATATATTTCAGGATCACTAACATTCTTATAAAGGAAATCTATATTAAAATATATAATTTATTAACTCAGGGTATGTCCTATTTGGAGCAGTATACATTCGCGCTTTCAATTTATGAAGGCAATAAAACCTAAACTAAATGGACAATATTATTTCTAAGCGATATGCAATGTTTTGACATTCGCTTACTGTTTATTCTGCAGCTACAATACAGAGTCTACAATACGAATTGTAATAGTAAATTTGGCGTGCCTGTCAAAATCGTAAAAAAGTAAATGCAGTTATATCATTCGGTACTCACTCAATTCCTGGGATACCGTTATGCTAGGGTTTCTCGACCTTTATCCATTGGCTTTCTCTGTAAATCGAGTGGTAGTTATTTCAGAATCCAGCGTTTTTAACAAAAACATTACCGCACTTACACTACACAACCTCTGCACACACCACCGCCATGTTAGCTGAACTATGCATCACACAGCTAGTGATGCTATTGGTTAGTCCGCCAAACACAATGCAGATCTTCCATTGGCCAGAAAGTCCCGCATGTGAATGTGTAAACATGGCGACGTCTGTAACATCTAACCCGTCTACTTTGCTTCCTTTGGGTAAAAAAACCTTCTTTTGTACAAGTTTAAATTAGTTCTGCTTATTCATATTGTGTATGTTACTTATATAAATCATAAAAATCAGGCATAGTAATTTTAAAAAGGAACTGGTGTTTTGCAGTGTCATACAACTAACCTAACTATTCAGGATTCCCGGTTCTAAAAACGGTGACTGTGAACATCTTCTGGGATGTACTGCCATGTAGTCCTGTAGAAGTTCACCGAAGTTTCGGACGAACGAACTACCTATAGATTTCCTTTGTTTCTGGTTCCTTGCTTTCTTCGTTCTTCGACGCCGAAAATGAAGGCAGTGTGTTCCTCCGAAACGTCGGTGAACTTCTACCAGACTACATGACGTGAAATCCCAGACGATAGTACACTTCACAGTCACCACTGTGAGAATGTAGTTTTGTACGCCGCCTAGTTCTTGGTGGTTACTTGCTTGGCTTACTGTTTTCTCTGAAGATGGTGGCAGTACCTTTCTTCGAAACGTCGGTAACCAAACTTCTTTTTCAATAAACTTATCAGGTCAACTTTCTGCCCACAGTGCATCAACATTCAGTATTGTGATCACATTCTTGTTTGTAGCCCAGTGTGTGTCCAAACTACATTATGATAAGGGCCAAACTTTTTAGTAGGAATATAAGTTTTTCACAGGGTATAGTAGCTGTGTCATAGTTTCTTCTTGAATGTCTCTTTTACAGAACTTGTGGATAAGTGTATTGGTTCACGAATCCACATCATTATGAAGAATGATAAGGAAATTGTTGGAACATTGTTGGGTTTTGATGATTTTGTGAATATGCTACTGGAAGATGTCACAGAGTATGAGTCTACCCCAGAAGGCAGAAGAATTACCAAGCTTGATCAGATTCTGCTCAATGGGAATAACATTACAATGGTATGTGCTGAAATAAAAAAATGTATTTTCAGCAAATTTAAAGATTTCCACTTGTGATGTCCACATAACAGATTTGTGAATATGATGAAAATCACTAGGGGTAGTATGTATTTTGCACTTTGGGAGGGCATGCACCTGCCCCTGCCCCCTGAATTTTTGGAAAACTCAAAATATGCCAAAAATCAATACCAGATATTAAAATTATTTTTAAATGTAGCACCATCTGAGTTGCAGTATACCTAGAACTGTAGGGAGATCCGTAATGATTTAAAGATTAGTTTGCAAGAAAATTTCTGATCCCCCCCCAACCCCCACTCTGACCCATAAAGAAATATCCTACTGACACTCATAATCAATATATGATCAATTACATACCATACCTTTAAGGTCTTTCATTCTGGTCCGTCACACTAACCAATTAACAATCAAGTTCCTTCCGTCAAATGTGACACTTTTTTAAGTTTTCCACCTCGTCACCACCTGCCTTACATGTTTCGGCTCACCACGGAGCCATCATCAGAGGCATTTATAGTAGAAAAAGAAATCACCAACACACAAAACTTCACTTTGTCCAAGATAGCCACGTTCCAGTTAATTAAAA